AGAGGATTGAAATCGACAACAAAGAACCAAGGCACCACAAAAAACATCAAAAACCACCCTTTGATGCACACGAAAGGAAGCTCCTCATAGAGTCTGTGCAGAGACAAAATGGACCAGCGTTGGTTACTGTCATGTCAACTCACCTATTCTTTTGGGTGAAATGACTCCATAGACTTCTTTCCTCATGTCAAGAACATTTCTGGTCCAAGTTCCTGCAATCATATTAAATGGTACTTTTAGTACTCATCAACTATTAATTACATTTAAATTACTCATACAATACAATACACCTTTAAATGCCTCTCCCCCCATACATCTCTAAATGTCCATGGTCTTTCAAATAAATAATTTGGCACTGGACTCAAGCATTAAGTACGAAGGGGTAGCTGCAAATAGCTGCAACGCACAATTATTAATTGTTTGGGAGATTACGCAAATAGTATCACTCGGTTTGCACCCCAACCAGAAAGTAATAAAGTTTTCTGTTCCACGAGAAAAATATGGAGTAAAATAGATGATATATGATAAAACACTGACAGTGACCTGCAACAGTATTTAACATACTGTATGGAATAAAGAAGTGTACCCATTCAACACCTTTTCAACAAAGCTTACAGAGCGCCAAGTTTACATCACGGGCATCATTTACTCGGCCTCAAAAAAATATCTGACAACTTGTGCACTGGAGCACACTAACCTCTTACATTACAGCAATAACCGGAATGGAACAATTCAATACTCTGGACCGGAAACAATCAAGCACTATACCTTGCGATTAATATCGAAAAGTGGCGATGTCCTCCCGAAAATTCTGATTAAAATCCTATGGCCAATTAAATGAGTAGGTATTTTCGGTATTTAGCAGAAGACGCCGATCGTGACATTGAAAGACATTGATTTTCATTGTTTGTTTACGTTTCCATAAAGGCGCGGCAAATGCGGGGTGGGGAGGAGGAGAGGGGTAGGGGACGCGGCACGGCAAAGGGGGAAGAGCAATAATTACGGCAGAAGTTCTGGTCAGACAATGACACTCACCGACATATCGTGGTCACGGGATGTGATTCTTTTCCCGACCTATGCAACATGTGGCCGCAGCTCTATGGAGAACCTCAGGGAGTTGTGGCCAAGGACGCCAGGGGTAGGCAATCCCGCCTCGCTTGTCCGGGATGTGATCCTGCAGGGGGCAACGCCAGGAAAGTGCTGTAGCTGTGACAATAATGAAATGATCAGGATAATAAACTCTTATGGGCGATTTTCTGTTAATAATAATTATATTTGGCGACTTTTAAGAAATATGCACCAGCCCGGGTACACGACGTTTGGAGCCGAATCGCGTTCGTCGTGGGAGTGTCATCGGCATGCTCGGGAGGTCCCCGATGACGTCCCCGGGGGCCCGGACGACCTCGGCACTGCCAGATTCGGACTCAGCGTGCGAAAAAGCCAATGGGCCGGTGAAAAATAGGTCGGGGATGGGGAAAGTACTCCCCCTTTTTATATAAAAATTAGCCCACAGGGCTAAGAAAGAGACAGTCCCCTCGAACAGGCCACAGAGCTCCCAGCGAACGCGTGGACGAGCGCCCGAGCCGAGCGAGCGGAGGGGAAGGGAGGGAAGCCCGTCTAAAGGAGAAGGA